GGAGCATTTGGGGAGTGTGACAGTGGCTAAGAGCCTTCAGGGAGTGTCTGTAATGACTGTATGTCAAAACATTAGGTGGAAGGGAGAGGATAACCCTCTGTGCTGTGCCTAACCCTGAGCCACAGGGATGTTCCTGAAGGGTGAACACAGGACTATAGGGTGAGGAAAACCCAAGGAGAAGGATTTCCAGAGAAGGGAAAAAGACTCCCAAATGGAGTACAATCAGAAACCAGCTTCACAACTTAGCCTTGGACCAGCCCAAGCAATTGTTACTGGTCTGTACACTAAGCTACATCTTGTGGCCATAAGAACACTTAATTCATTCCAGAATTCTCAGTGTGCCCATGAGTCAGAGAGAAATCATAAGACAAACTACTGAGCCCGGCAAAAAGGATCTGTTTTCTTCTGCTTTTGTTACCATCTCCTTGATTTATTCCTTCCTCCCTTTCTCCTCCTGTCTCCCTTATCAGAGCCAGGAGAAGCAATATCTAAAAGTGTTCAAGGTCTTCTGATTCTGTTTTCCTTTATGATAACAATGGGGCCCTGGGACCATTTTCAGGCAGGCACATCCTTGATGGTAGAAGGCCCAGAGCTCTGGCAAGCAGGAAAGTCACCAGGTGAAAGAGCTAATTGAAGACCCAGTCCGTCCACTACCTATCCATCTTAAGGTGTCTTCCCCATGTCTGCAGTGCTCCACCAGTCATGAAGTGGCCTGTCCCAAGACTGTGGCTTTTGCCACATGCTGACTCAGCTCCCTGGGGGTTGGCGACAGGACTGTTTGGGACCATCAGCCACAAAGGCACCAAATAACTCATGTTGAGGAAGCTAGTCATTTTTAGCAAGGCCTGTCATACTGATAATCCATGGCCACTGCCCCAAAGGCAGATGAAACCTGCCCTCTTCCCCCATCCTTCTATACCCAAACATCTATCCAGCATTGTTCTTTTGTATTCTGTAGCTCATGCTTCCATAGCCTGCCCCTCTCACTCTCAACCCCTGTCTCCAAACTTTTAACCCTTCCCACTATGCCCTCTGCAGCCACTATTCCATAAAAAATGCTTCCACATTTTTTCTTTACAATATTACTCCACCACCACAAATTGAAGCCTACCTCCTCCCAAAGGTGCATGGTCTTTTGCTTCCATCTCTAGTGGAGGCTCCTGTTTTTCCTGCATGTCTGGAAGCAGGGCTTGGAGTCAGGATTCATCCAGCTTCCTGGTGCTGCTTTTACACGATGTGCAAATTCTGCCAAAGTTTATGCCTCTTGATGCTACCATTTTCTATTTCCCATAAACACCGAAAATCTAGATATGAGTTTTTTCATCATTCCCAGATCCTGACGTAATTCTGGGATATTTAAACATATATGTGGATGATTATCCAACACACTAGTGTTTAGTTTCTTCACCTTTTTGAGCCTCAAAGCTGAGTTAGTTACAGACTGGAAATGCTTGACAGTAAAGGATACCAGTCCTTCTAGCTTTCTCACTACACTTGCTCTTTGAGGGATTACCAGGACAACATTCCTTTTCTTCCTTATTCAGTGGTTGTCAAACTTTAACAAACATGAGAATCACCTGAAGGACTTGTTAAGACAGACTGCTGGACCCCAATCCCAGAATTTCTGACTCAGTAGGTCTGGGGGGAGGGGATCAATGCAAACTTGCATTTCTAACATGTTCCCAGGTGATGCTGATGTGCTGGTTTGGGGGCTACATTTTGAGAATGCTCTGCTAATGGATGTGCCCAATGATTCCCAAATTACCTTCATATTAGAATTACCTGGGGAGCTTCAAAAAGTAATGGAGGTTTGTGTCTGCGTTCCAGGCCCTCAGACTGTGATTTAATTTACCAGAAATGTAGCTTGGGCTTTGAAGTTTTTAAGAGATCCTAACTGAGGTGATGCTGTGAACAGATAAGTTTGGAAGCAGTTGGTACCAAGACCTTCTATCTTCCCTTCCTCTCATATCCTTCCTGGTAGATGTGGTTAATCATCCAAACTATACCTCCCACCTGGATATTCCCCTGTAGCCTTGTATTGGCCTCCTCCTCTCGGGAAATTTGTGTCCAACCTATGTCAATCTATTTGCTCCTTGTTCCTAAATGCTAGCCATCATGTGTGGCTGGAGAAAACCACATAGCTTTCTCATTCTGTAGCTTACCCTAGTTGTGCTCCCTCATTAGCTTTTAACTTATCCTTGATTCTCTCTCGTCTTCATCTCCCTCACTAAAATAATCATTATTAATAATTAATAATAATTTCAAAACTTAACCATTCTAATATCCCTATGTGAACTCTTCAGGTGACCTTCGACTTCATCAAGTAAAATTCATTCCATCCAGCATGATCTCTTTCAATTTTATACTCTATCCAAAGATCAAATTTATCTAAAGCCACACCCTTTCATTTTGTTATTGCTTCATCTCAGAGGATGCACCCCTACTCCATTTCACGGTCAACACTTCCACCGTGCCGCACAAATCACCTCACCTCGTCAGCACATAGCATGATTAATTATATGCTCTTTCCATATACCTTCGCCTTCCCCTCTCTGTTGGCTCTGGACCCTCTGCTTCAGTTCTTAGTCTTTCTCGACTCTGACTCTGCTTCCTTTCCTTATTGCTCTTTCATATACACCCCAGCTACCGTTTGTCAGCCCTTGCTGCCTACTGATGATTGATTCAAAAGTAGGAGTAAATCCTTCCAGATGCCTCCTTTACAGGCTTTTGAATTTGGTATTCAGAATTCTTGGTTTTAATGTTTTTTTCTTTTTTACTTTCCCCCTTGCCACGTGACTCTGCTCGTATTGTCAACACCACGCTTCTCTTATTTCTAGAACATAACTTCTTTGTTCAATATGCTAGGGACTAATGAGAAAGCTGCCTCAGAAGCATAAAGCATTGTATTAATTGTATTTTGCTTCCAACATGTATTTACTGCTCAACAAAAGGTGAGCATGTAGCTCCTGTCAGCACAATGAAGAAACAACAAATCCAGCAACCCTGTGGGAATCCGGTTGTCTGGGGATTTGAGGGTCTCCTATTCACACAGTGACAACTCCAGAAGAGGCAGGGGGAGAAAATGAAGGAAAATGACAAAAACACACACAGGAAGCACAGTACAGGAAGGAAATCAACAAGGCAGACAAAAGAGTGTCTGTGTAGTTTTGTTTGCTCAGCTAATACAATTAAATCAACCCTGGTTCAGGAAGTGTGCTTGTATTCGTACTGTGGTCCAGGTGTCAGACTGGGTCTTCAGTACTAGGTGATACATAGTGGATTTCTTTCATCATGGCTGTGAAAAACCTTAACACTAATTTATAGCAGAGTACTACTGTTTCCATTCAAAATGCAAAGTAAGTTAGGAGGGATAGCAGAGAAAGCTTTGGTACTAATTTTCCTCATAACATATATTTAATATAACATCAAACATTAAATTCACATAAAATTACATATTATACATATGATATTAAATGTTGTATTTATGTAAAATTCCTTATTTTGACACAATATAAAAACAGTGGACATCAAAAGCATGATATTTAAAAGAAAAAACTGTTAAATTGGACCTTACCAAATAAAAAACTTCTGTGCTTCAAAAGACACCATTTAGAAAGTGAAAATATAAACCACTAGACTGCAAGAAAATATTTACAACTCATGTACCTATAAAAGACTTGTATCCAGAATATATAAAGAACTTTTACAATAAATCCATACAATGGAATAATATTCAACAATTAAAATGAAAGAACTACTGATTTATGTTACCACAAGGATGAAACTTGAAAACATTATTCTAAGTGATGGAGGCCAGATGCAGAAGAATGAATACTGTATGTCTGATCCCATTTACATGAAGTGTTTACAAAAGGCGAATATATAGAAACAAAAACAGATCAGTGGTTGCCTAGGGTTGGGGGATAAGAGCTGTGAGTAACTGTAAGTGGGCATGAAGAAAGTTTCTGAGGTGATAGTAATGCTCTAAAACGAGATTTTTTAAATTTTATATTGATAAAGCTATATTTTATTTTATTTTTTAAAATATTTATTTTTGAGAGAGAGAGCTAGAGAGCGAGCAGGGAGGGGCAGAGAAAGAGGGAGACAGAATCCCAACCAGGTTCTGTGCTGTCAGCACAGAGCCCAGTGCGGGACTTGAACTCACCAACTATGAGATCATGACCTGAGCTGAAACCAAGAGTCGGACACTTAACTGATTGAGCCACTCAGGCACCCCAATAAAGCTATATTCTTAAAAAGTGACCAACTCATAGTTCTTTAAATTACCATTAAATCGAATTTCCATTTTTTTAAGTTTATTTACTTATTTTGGGAGAGACAGAGAGAAAGATCAAGTGCAGGCAGGGGACGGGAAGAGGGAGAGGGAGAGAGAGAATCCCAAGCAGTTTCCACGTTGTCAGCACAGCGCTCAAACCCATGAACCATGAGATCATGATCTAGCTGAAATCAAGAGTAGGACACTTAACTGACTGAGCCACCCAGGCACCCCCCAAATATCCATTTCTAATTGCTAGAAATAAAACATGAGTAAAGACTTTTAAATATGGTATATAAAATAACTACCCCTCCCCACAACCCCAGGATCAGTCATTTACTACACACAGGAGAAGAGGCTTCTGGGAGCTTCCAGTAGTTCATGAAGATGGTTAACACTGCTTCTGACCGACCACTCATACTGAAAAGTCTGCATTCCTCTGCTCTCACTGCCCCTTTACAAAGGAGAGGAAAGCCAGGCGTCTGGATAATCCACAAATTGGATCATGAGTCCTGAATAATAAGGTAGTCAACTCATTTTTTCTTTTTTTTTGACAGATGCCAGCTACTTTTCCCACGATTATATATTAACTATGGTTAAAGCTTGTCATTTTCATCCTTAAAGGCTGTTAAACAGCATGGAATAAATGTGCTTGCAATATTTTCTTATCTGGGACTGTACTGAAAGGTGTGGGTGAAGCACCAGGACCGTCTTCAGTATTTACCAAGTGTCTTTCACTCATTAGGCACTTAGGGTGATGGGCCACACAACGAAGATGATGCAGCCTCTCCATTCAGTGAATTTGTAACCTGTCTGGGAAAGAAAGCTAAGAAACGGTAGACAATTAGTAAATAATAAAAAACACTGTAAAGTCAAGCTGAAAATCTCAAAATGTAAGACAAGGGAGTTGCACTACAATATGTTTTGAATTCCATCCTGCTTGAACATTCTATCTTTTTTAGAGAAAAATCTGGATAGCTTGCATATAGGCTGTGTCTGGGTAACTTAAGGATTTGTTATGTTTCTGTGACAACTACTTATTTAGTGATGTTTTTTGGTCTGTTTTTTAAATTGTATGGATTACAAAATTGTTTCATTTCCAAGTCAAGATCTCATCAGTAAGGCTGAGCCAAACGTGTGTGTGTGCATTCTTATGCATGCAGCTGCAAAAATTTCTCTCTTCTCTTCTCTTCTCTTCTCTTCTCTTCTCTTCTCTTCTCTTCTCTTCTTTCTCTTTTTTCTCTCTCTCTCTCTCTCTTGTTCCCTCCCTCCCTCTCTCTCTTTTGCTGATGCACTCAGCTCTGCAAAATGACAATGCTGATATTATTATTATGGGCTTACAGGCAAATTTCCTAGTACTGTGCATGGGTATGTTAGCTTATCTTGGCCTACCAAACCACAGAGGTCCTTGTTTAGTGATGTTAACTGTTGTACTCAAGTTTCCCAACAAAATCCAGATCTGTTAAGTGAAGGCAGACCACCATCATATGTACTGAAACTCTTGGTCCTCTTCTGTGGTGAAGGGAATGGCCTCATTAGTGATTCCTTCCCTGCTGTTAAGTAACCTCAACTTTTGAATAAATATGGAATTGCACACGTTAATGATGGCAGCCCAGATTTTTGCAGACAAATCTCCATTCAGTTTATGCAGCATTCCTATAGACTTTCTATATTTAGCAAGTTATGGAGAAAGGAGTCATTGTTTAACATAAGATTAGGATTGAGGTTTGGGTATGAAGTAATGCAAATTAAAATTATATCTTTCCCATCTGCTTTTTTTTCCCCCATCTCATTGTATTTATAGACCACCATAGGAATGGAAGTGGCCACAACATACCTAGGCATCTCTCAAATAATCCTTTTATGTGTGAATACTCGTAGGGTTGAGGGGTTCTAGAAATACATTCCTGCTTTTTCTATTCGCACCGGAACCTGCCTGGAAGATACTTCCAGAAATGAGATTCTTCCTGCTTCCAAGATCTGTCTCATACTTGGCCTCAGCCTGCCCCTGCCTCCTAGAATGCCATACCCTTCACTCATGTTCCAAATTACATTATAAGGTTTTATTTCATCAGAAACATTACCCTGACTTCCTTTTAACAATCCTGTCTTGAAATGCAATACAATGCAGAATATTATAATGTTATATTATTATAAATGATGCTTACCCAAATGCTTAACTCTTGGGAGAAAAAAATCAAGTTAGACCTTTATTTCTCATGACATGCCAAAATAAATTCAACTGGATAAAACTATTAAATATGAGTCCATCAAAACATAAATATACTAGAAGGAATGATAGCTAAAGATTTATATGATTTATGAATAGAAATGTCTGTGCTAGAAAAGGTTAAAATCAGCTGAAGAAATCAGAAAATAAAATAGTGAATTGACTACATAAACAGCAAAATCTACATGTATGTAAAATTATTAATAAAATTAATGAGTAAACAATAAGCTAAAATACAGTTGTGAAAATATCAAGAAAAACTAATAGATTTACATAGAAAACTTAAACAGGAAAACTGTAATATTTCTATAAAAAACTAATCCTTGGGGCGCCTGGGTGGCTCAGTCGGTTAAGTGGCCGACTTCAGCTCAGGTCATGATCTCACGGTCCGTGAGTTCGAGCCCCGCGTTGGGTTCTGTGCTGATAGCTCAGAGCCTGGAGCCTGTTTCGGATTCTGTGTCTCCCTCTCTCTGACCCTCCCCCGTTCATGCTCTGTCTCTCTCTGTCTCAAAAATAAATAAACGTTAAAAAAAATCATTAAAAAAAACTAATATCCCAAAAAATATGAATAAACAATGTTTAAAAGAAGCCAATTTGTAAATGGCCATTTTATTTTATTTTTGTCTTTTTTCATATTTAAAGATTTTTTATTTTTTATTTTTTTTAACTTTTTTTTTAACGTTTATTTATTTTTTTGGGACAGAGAGAGACAGAGCATGAACGGGGGAGGGGCAGAGAGAGAGGGAGACACAGAATCAGAAACAGGCTCCAGGCTCTGAGCCATCAGCCCAGAGCCCGACGCAGGGCTCGAACTCACGGACCGCGAGATCGTGACCTGGCTGAAGTCGGACGCTTAACCGACTGCGCCACCCAGGCGCCCCTAAAGATTTTTTAGAGTAGATTTAGGTTCAAAGCAAAATTAAGAAGAAGGTACAGAGTTCCCCTATATGCACTGCCCCCCAATATTCATAGCCTCCTCCTATAAATGGCTATTTTAAAATGTTGACATTTCACCCTCATTAGCAATGGAAGTAATAAAAATGAAGGCAATAGTAAGATCTGAATTTTTTTTTAAAGATTTGTCAACCTGGTAGACAATAACTACCTAGGGTTGAGGGAGAGGCAGCGAGAAATGCCTTCTCTTGTTTGTTGAGAGAATGAACTGGTCAAAACTTTCTGAAAGTTTTTGACAAGATATATCAAATGCCTTGAAAATATCCATATGTTTTGATAGATCAATTTGCCTGCTGCTAGGAATTTACATTATGAATGACACACAAATGTATGTGTAAGAATATTATATTATTTATAATAATTTCTAACAAATCACAAGTAGCCTTTAGGTCCAACATTAGCGGAGTAGTTAAGGAAATTAGGGAGCAACCATATGATAGACTATTATGCTGTCATTAAAAAATATTTGGAAAATATTTCAAATGACACAGGAAAATATTTCTGATTTCATAACAGCTAAAGGAATTTGCAACAGTAGAAAATGTTGTTCCGCCATGGAAAATTCATTTTTAGTAAGTATAATAAAACATGTACAATATTAACTACACCTTTGAGTAGTGGGATTATGGTTGCTTGTTATTTATCCTTTATACTTTCTGTACTTATAAAATGATCTACCATCGGTAGGCATCCGTTTATAGTAAGAAACAATTTTTTTTCATGATTCCATGAATAACAATACAAAATATTGTATTATATTAATCTCAAAATAAATAAACTTTTTTTTTTAAGTTTCTACACAGTAAAAGAAACAATCAACAAAATGAAAAGGCAACCTATGGAATAACAGAAAATACCTGCAAACCATATATGTGATAAGGAGATAGTATCTAAAATATATAAGGAATTCATATAATTTAACAAACACAATATGCTTTTAAAATGGGCAGAAGACCTGAGTAGACATTTTCCCAAAGAAGACACACAAATGGACAACAGGTGCATGAAAAGATGCTCGACATCACTCATCAGAGAAATGCAAGTCAAAACCACAAGGAGATATCACCTCACACCTGTCAGAATGACTGTTATCTAAAAGACAAGAGATAACAAGTGTTGCTAAGGATGTAGAGGAAAGGGAACCTTTGTGCAATGTTGGTGGGAATGTAAATTAGCACAGCCACTATGGAAAACAGTATGCCAACAAACCCACATGCACGCGCATATGCACGTGCACGCACACATAATGGAATATTGTTCAGCCACAAAAAAAGAAGGAAATACTGCCACCTACAACAATAGGGATGGACTTACTTCAAGGGCATTATGCTAAGTGAAGTAAATCAAAAAGAGAAATACAAATTCTATTTGATGTCATTTATAGAGGGAAACTAAAAAAGTCAAGTTCATGGAAACATGGTTGCCAGGGGCTGGGGGTGGGGGAAATGGGAAAAATGTTGGTCAGAGGATACAAACTTCTAGTTGGAAGATAAATAAGTTCTAGGGATCTAATGTACAACATGGTGACTATTGTTAACAATATTGCATATGTGGAAGTTGCTGAGAAAGTAGATCTTAAATATTCTCACCACATTCACGCAATGTAATTGTGTGAGGTGATGGAGGTGTTAACTAACCTTATTGTAGTAACCATTTTGCAATCTATATGTATATCCAGTCATCACATTGTACATCCTAAACTTACACAATGTTATATGTCAATTATATCTCAACAGAGCTGGAAAAACATACTTCACGATATGAAAAAAAATATGATATTCTTACTGGAAAAGCAGAATGCAAAATTACAAGTACAGTATGATTATGCTTAAATAAAAATGAATTTTATCCATAGACATGAAGATTTAAAAAATACCCAAATATGACTGTAGTTCAGTTTGGGTGGTGAGACAATAAGTGGTTTTTCCCTCTTTTCCATTTAGATCAAAATGTATTGATGAATTTTTATGGTACAAAAATGTCAGCCGTTTGTCAAACAATTTATATAACAAACACTGATTTCATAGCTACTGTATGCCAGGCCCTATGTATGCCAGTTGCTGGAGATTCTGAAAGTGTTATGATAGAGTTTTTGCCTTGAAGAAAATCACAGTATAGAAAGAAGAAGAAACACATGATTAAAGACCTAGTCATAAGTTCTATCATAGAAGAAGGGACTGGCCACTATTGGTGCTATTGGATCCCAGAAGTAGGGCAGCTGATTCAGACTGGCTTGGAGGAGAAGAGACAGCAGGGGAATATTTCACAGGAGAGCCACCAAATAATGACATGCCATGATGGAAGGAAGGTTCAAAGAGGAGGTTAAGTAGGTCACATATTCAGATGACAATATCTTAATAAGGTGACTGTCACATGAAATGCTTACAAAAGAGAATTGTAGGATAACTTTCAAGCTTCTGGCTTAAAGGTGCTGGTGTCCTCTAAAAAGAAAGGAATCCAGGGGCACCTGGGTGGCTCAGTCGGTTAAGTGTCAGACTCTTGACTTGGACTTAGGTCCTGATCTCATGGTTCATCAGATTGAGCCCTATGTTGAGCTCTGTGCTGGCAGCA